AATTTCTGGATGATTACAGTATGCAGCCAGGGTTATGAAATGCTGCATTAGAAGAAAAAGAATGGAAAAAGTATGATCAGTCTTATAAACATACATGCATCAAGTAGCAGGAATAAGCCAAAACATAACTTAATATGAGGCACTTCTAAGATCAAATAACATAGAAGTATTAAAAATTAACAATAGATGTAACAAGCAAATATTAATGAGATAAGGTGTGATAGCCCAGGCCAGTGTGGCTCAGTTGGTTGGAACATCATCCTGTAAACAGAAAGGGTGCAGGTTTCAGTCCCAGTTAGGGCACATACCTAGGCTGCAGGTTTGGTCCTGTGAGGGTGCATACAAGGGGAAAGTAATCAATGTTTTTCTCTCACATCAGTATTTCTCTCCCGCTCTCTCTCCTACCCTTCCCCTCCCTAAAAATCAATAAGCATGTCCTTGGGTGAGGATTTAAAAATATATAGTAACAATAGTAATTTTTTTAATGACTCCTCATTCTGACTTTTTCTATTTAAAAAATCTAGTTAGGTAAGAAAGTTTGGAACAGAGAAAACAAGTGTTTTTCAAATATCTATGAACCGTAAACAAATTGGGAAAAGAAACTGTCTGGCAAATTCCCTGCAGGCATCACATAGTACAGGATGGAACTCAAGGCACAAAGGTCAGTCGAGGAGGACAGATATGGTTCCAGATTCCCTCAAAAGCTTCTACAGAGCTGTGCTTGGGCCTGGGTTAAACCCTGCTAGCTGAATGCTAGGCAACCTAGAAAAACCCTGTGATCATTCAGTTAGTCATGTGGTTCATTTCTCTACAAGTTTTTATCATGTAGGCCACATTCTCTGCCCATATGGCTATAAAATTAAATCACAATTCCAGAATGAAAAGACATTACTAATAAAAAGAATCTAAATAATTCAAATTAAGAGAAAATAAATAAACCTAAAAATATAGACCATCTAATATGAGAAATGGTGACTGCACTACATACCAAAACCATGGATTAACTTCCACTTACAATAAAAATGGAATATCAAGGATGAAATTTACCCTCCTGCTTGAAACAACCAATACAGACAAAACATGAAACAAAAAATATGGACAGGTATAAAGGACAGTGATCCTGTTACAGAACAGAACAAGGGGGGGCCTGGGATGATATACTATTATTTAAAAGGCCCCCAGGTCCGTCATGTCCGCCGCCCGAGGAAAGACATCTCTCAATGCCAGAGATTCGTGAAAAGGAAAGGAAATGTTTATTTAATGCTATACAGACTTAAAGTAGTGACCTAATGTCTTTATCAAAAATCCCAAAGTCCCTTAAAACACCCACAAACACACACAGTCCTTCCTTCCTTCCTTCCCCCTTTGCCCAGTCCAGAGTACCGTATTTCAGGGAAGGAAAACGAAGTCCATGGCTCAGACAGTCCTCTGGTTCTTAGTCCTCCTTCTCGACTGGGAGACCTCCCTGGGTTCCCGGCACCCTCGGCTGAGTCGCCAGGATCTCTGCTAAAACCAGGTGGTGGTTCCCCTTCTAAAGCTGCGGGGGTCCCCGCTCTGTCCAGGCCTCGTGGTTCTCCCTCTCAGGGCTGCGGGAAGGGGAGAGTCCCCACTCTGCCAAAGCTGCGTGGCTCTCTCTTCTAATGGCCGCCAAGTCTGGGTTTTAAATCCCCGCGGCCAATCTTCCTCTGCAGCCTCATTTCCGACTCCTCCCACACTCGGCTTCACATGCCAGAACTCATATCCTTCCAGCTTTACTGGGCTGCCATCATGAGTCTGGGCAGGTGTGGCCCCCATGTCCTGGAGCCAATCTTCTCCGAGCTCCCACGCAGGCGCTGTAGCTTGGGGGGAAATCTGCCCCTAGTCACGTGTTGGTGGAGAAGTTACTTCCATTCCCCCCCCCGCCCCCCCCCTCAGAGATGATCACAGCTATTTAACATATCTAAGCGACCAGCCAAAGGCTATAGATATGTTAAATGACCACACCAGAGCTTAGCTGCAAAACAGCTCTCAATGGTCCTGCTCCATTTGTCCCTTCCCCCAACCCACACCCTGGGTGGGGTGGGGGGGGGAATCTCCTGGACACCTTAAGTTCTGGACCCCATTTCAAATGCCCATTTGGGGTCCCCCCTCTTGGCTGCACCCTGTAACAATCCCTGAGAAATGGAAAATGAGGTGAGCCCCCATGATTATCTCCTTAAGGCCAGGGTGGGTGTCCAAGCTGCGGCCCACAGGCTGCATGCGTCCCAGGATGGCTATGAATGTGGTACAACACAAAATCGTAAATTTACTCAAAACATTGTAAGACTTTATTGTGATTGTGTCACATTGTGTTTAATGTGTGGCCCAAAACAACTCTTCTTCCAGTGTGGCCCAGAGACGCCAAAAGGTTGGACACTCCTACAAGGAAATTTTCACACTGCAGGGTGGTGAGTGCAAGGCAGGCAGAGCCTGGTAAGATCTCTGTTGAGATGAAACCGAAAGCTCAGGGAAACCCAAGGCAGCTAGAATGTCCAGTACCCAGGACTGAAGAGGATTAAATCTGCACTTGGAGAAAACTCCCAGAGATCTGCAGAATGTTTCCTCCAGTTTTCATGAGAGCATGATTGGTACACAGGTTTGAAGAAACTACCCAACCAGGGGAAAGCATTGTCCCAAGAATCAGAAGGAAAAGTACTCAGCACTCACCTAGAACAAGGACATATATGTTCCCACTAGCCAGACTGGAAAACTTCTTAATTTAGGAGACACCAGTTAGACTATTTCTTGCTCAAGGTGTCCAGGAAATATTAGAAAGATATATAGGATGTCCTCACCCTCCACCACAGGTGTGAGTTGGGGAAAGGGACACATGGAGCAGGGCCATTGAGCTGTTTTGTACAGCAACAGCTTTGCAGCTAACCTCTGGCCTGGTCATTTAACACATCTATAACCTTTAACTGGTTGCATAGATATGTTAAATAGCTGTGGCCTTGCTTTGAGCCAGGGGGATGGAAGTAACTTCCCCCACCAAGATGTAACTGAGGGGCAGGTCCTCCTGATTACAGCCCCTGTGTGAGAGCTTGGAAGTGACTGGCTCCACGTTGTGGGGCCACGCCTGCTCAGACCCACTACGGCAGCCCAGTAAAGCTGGAAAGATATGGGAGTCCTGGCAAGTGTAGCTGATTGTAGGAGGAGTCGGAAATGGGGATACAGAGCAAGATTGGCATGGGGATTTAAACCCAGGCACAGCAGCCATTGAAGATAGATCCATGCGGTTTCGCCAGAGTGGGGACCCCTGCAGCTTTAGTAGGGGTAATCACCATGAAGCTTTAGCAGAGAACCGCCACTCAGCTTTGGCAGAGTGGTGACCCCCCCCTCCCCCCCACAGCTTTGCAAAGGGAACCACGCGTTTTGGCCAGAGTGCAGGCACTTGCAGCTTTGCCGAGAACCATGTGGTTTTGGCCAGAGTGGGGACCCCTGCAACTTTGGTAGACGAGGACCACGAGGCTTTGGGATGCTTCCTTTGGCCGCATGGCCTGGGAAGCAGGAGAGACTTTGCCTGGAAAATGGGTACAAAGAACTCTTTTGCCAGTAGGCCATAAGAAGGTGCCACATGGCTTTGGATTAATTAGAGATCCTGCCTGGATGGTGACACAGCTGATGGTGCCAGCACCCTGAATCATTGATGTTTGCTTCTTTTCTGGAGTTACAGTACCCTGAATTAGGGCAGGGGGAGAAGGAAGCACTGTGGGTGTCTCAGGGTATCCAAAAAGGACTTTGATATTTTAATGAAGACGTTAGGTCACTACTTTAAGTCTGTATAGCATTAAATAAACATTTTCTTTCCTTTTCACAAATCTCTGGCATTGAGATGTCTTTCCTATTGGCAACAGACAATCAAACCTAGTGGGGGGTCCTTTCGGTAACTGTATATCGTGCCCCCCAGCCCCCTGTGTGGTGTCTGTTCTGTAACAGTTTTTGGCGTCCTTGGGTGAGACAATAATTACCCCCCTTGTCTGTTCTGTAACAATCAGGGTACATACAAGAATCAACTGATGAATGCATAAATAAGTAGAACAACATATCAGTCTCTCTCTCAAATAATCAAAAAAAATTTTAACTAATGGCCAAAATTTTCTAAATTTGTTGGAAATGATAAACCATGCACGTCAATGAACCCCAAGCAAAAGGAGCATGAAGAAAATGATATTAAGTTACATCATAATCAAATTGCTCAAAACCAGCCAGAAAAAAATAAAACACTATGTACATGACAAATTTCTTATACGAAAAAAAATTACAAGACAGTGGAGCCACAATTTTTATTGTATTAAAAGAAAAAACTGTCAACTTAGAATTCTACACCCAGCAAAAACATGTTTCAAAAATGAAGGTGAAAAACATTTTTAGACATACAAAAGCTAAAATAATTCATCACTAGCAAGCCTGCAATATAAAAAGTATCAAAAGAAGTACTTCTAGCAGAGTACTAGATAGATAAATGGATCTATACAAAAGAAAGAAGAGCTACAGAAATGGCAACTATTGGAAAAATATATAAGATTTTGTTATTTCAATCGCCTTAAAATCTGTTTTTAACAACAAAAACAATGCAGCATGAGGTTTATACGAATATAAATGTAAAATGTCTAAACAGTATAGCCTCCAGCAAATGTGGGTGCAGAGAGAAGCAAAAATATATCAAAAACTAAAACTGAAATACAACTAGAGATAGTTTTATAAAAATTATAAGAAATACTACATACAATTCTATAATTTTGAAAGATACGGAAAATTGTTAACTTTTTGAAAAGATACAAGGTATCCAAATTGTCTCCTGAGAAAGCAGAAAACCCAAATAGATCAATAACTATAAAGAAAATTGAAAAAGGAATTAGAGTCACCTCTAAAATCCTGGTAGTTTTATAAATGAGTTTTATAAACAAGTCTTAAAAAAACACATAATTCCTATTGGGTGGGCCAAAAAGTTCATTTAGGTTTTTTCTGTAAAATAAGACACATTTTTCATTTCCACCAATAACTTTATTGATGTGAATATTTTGAGTGTGTCAGCTATCTCCCGCTATTGGCTTTTAATGAGTAGAGGCCAGAGGTGCTGCTAAATGTTTTCCAATGCATTAGATACCCCTATAGCACAGAATTATTGGCCAAAATGTCAATAGTACCAAGAAACTTCACAAACCACTTTTGACATGATCAGTCATAGCACCTTGTCCATGCACTGCACAAACTATTTTTGCATTTCAGTTATTTTTACCTTTCTTGAAATAATAAAGATGATGAATAATATGATGAAAATGTTGCATATTTTCTACCATCTTCAACATTTAAACAGGTACACAAAAATTCACTAATTTTGATGTTTTTTTAAATGCACACAGATATGACAGCTGTCACAATACAATCTAACACAAAATTATTTTGACTGAAGCTAAAGACAACTAAGCACTACTAGCCATCTTGAAGAAAAAAACAAAGGAAATTGTTGGCCAACCCAATACAAAATTAGCAGAAACATAACCTCAAAACCAAAATAAAAAGGAACAATTTTTAAAGAAAACCTCATAAATTCAGATCCAAACTTCTTAAAAACTTGAAAATCAAATAAAATTCTAGAGTGTTAAAAGCACAATAAATTGTGGTAGTTTTAATAGAATGCAACAATGGTTCAGGATTAGCAAATCTATTTTAAGTTTTCTATGAGGAGGCCTTCTTTTTAAATTCAATTATTTGATAAATATTCCTTCATCCATTCATCAAAAATATCAAGTATTCTGTATATGCTAGACACTGGATACCGCAAATTCAGGTGTAAGATAAGGTCTCTGCTTTCACAGAGCTGTCCAGAGAGATACAAATAAAAAAATTAAAATACAGTATAAAGGCTATGGCCAGAGAAATACAGGGTATTATGGGAATACACACACTGGTAATTAAACATTAGGGTGCTGTTGGAATAATCCTGTTGCGATGATTCATTGCCCATTCTAGGATGATGGCAGTTGATAAAGGGAATGTGAGCCTGTACAACATAATTAGAAAATGGTGTGGTTATGGTTGATTGGAAGAACGTGTTATGTATAAAAGGGTAAAAATAAGGGTCAAGTAAATTTGGAAAATATGAGGTTAAGCATCAAGTGTCTTTACTGCAGTACTTGTCAGCAGCTTTATGGTGCTGTTACTCTCTTGACAGAAAGTCCCAGTGTTGGTGTGTATTTATGAGACATTTGATTATACAACCCTTATTTTGCAGATCATGAAAGCATAGTACTTCATGGTACACACTGGGAGAAACTGCTCTCCCACAGTCTCCTCCTTTTAACTCCTATAGTTCTCAGTACTGAGGTGGATTGTCTCACTAACTATATTCAACTCTTTGAGAATGTCTCGTTCTATCACTTTACCCAGTACACTTAGTTTACTTTCAACTAGGTGAGGTTTAAGTGAAAAAGATTCATTGGGCTCTAGCTGATGTGGCTGAGTGGACTGAGCACTGTCCTGTGAACCACAGGGTCACCCATTCAATCCTGATCAGGACATATGCCAGGTTTGCAAGCCAGGTCCTCAGCTGGGGGCATGCAAAAGGCAACTGATCAATGTTTCTTTCCCTCCCTTCCCCTCTTCTAAAAATGTAAAAATCTTTGAAGAGATTCACTGGAACCTCACAAGGGATGAGTCCCAAAAGCCATTAAAAAGAAAAAGATTATTCTGAATCAGGATCACCTGTGAATCAGTATGAAAGACTCTGACCCACAGATTAACTGGCAACAGAGCAGTATTAAGCTTTGTTGATATCTACTGTACAAATGTTAATGGATTTTCACATAAGTCACTTGCAAATAACAGGCTCATTGGAAACAAATCCTTCTATAAGACTGCTTAAGAAAGGAAACTTTTGTTCTTAACACTTTCTATGCCAAAGTTAGCTCCATTCACCTAGACACAAAAATGGCATGCATTTAAGAACAGAAAACTTGAATGTAAATAAATTTAGAGACTAGGGAGATTAGTTCACAGTCCTTGTAATGACTATCCATGTGTCATTGAAAATTCAACTCTACAATATTAAGTTCAATATGTAAAAAAGACATATTTCAAGATGTTCTAAAGAATGGACATTCTTCACAGCAGACAATCAATGAATAAAAGTATGCTGCTAACTTTTGTGTTCAGTTATCTCTAGTGACATCAAAAAAAAGACATAGCCTTCTTTTTGTTTTCAATATATTAAAAAGTAACATAGTACAAATGTTGCAGTTATTAAAAAGAATCCAAATATTTCAAGAAATTTTTATAAACAAGTTCTACAATGAAAGGGAAATATTATCTTGACACATAAATTTTTTAAAGCAAGATTTAAAATTTTTACATCAGGAAGTTTTTAAAATTAAACTTTTCAAATGTTCAAACAAAAAAACATGTACAATCCCCATAATAAAATGTATCCATCCATGTACACACAGCCTGGGTGCTTTGAAAATTGTAAATTTTTAAAATCTAAATGACAGAGGCAACACTTAAAGGTTTTGTGAACCCTTTCCTGAATAAGTATACTTTCAGTAAACCAATTCACCATTATATCTCACTGCGCATTTTCATTTTTGTTCTTCCTGCAAAGGGAAATTCCCACTAACACTGTATTTTTAATATAAAAAAATACATTTAGAGACATTTAACTTCCTGAGTGACTTCAGTCATTTAGTCAAACATGATTTAATGAAACATGATTTAATGAGGAAATTCTAAAATTTTAGAATGAAATAACGTGTAAATTTACACTTGTATGTCCAATTAGGGTAAAACTCAAAGAGCATTTCACAGAACTTACATTCTCTCAGAAGTTAAATATGATTTATCCCCAAAATTTACCAATAAACTTTCTCAAATCAAATGTTATTAAAATGAACCACTGAAACTACATTTTCTCTTTTATTAACAAAATACTATTGTATTTTAGACTATCAACTTGAATGTTTTCTATTATATACATAAAACGTGATTTACTTAATAAGCAGGTTCTTACAATACAACACATAACAGATAGTTAAAATATTTGCTTTATAATACAATCAATTTATACAATATACCCATTCTTCAATAGTCTAAAATGATTAGAAATTGTGGCACTTTCTGTTGCATAAATCCCTTTCTTCTTCATGAAACCCTGAGGTGGAAGGTTATTAATGTAATAACTGGAACCACAATTCTTCTCATTTCTGTATTAGATTGTAGCTATAGGTTTTAAAAATTTTATAGAGAAATGTAGCAACTTGTAAAACTGCTCTGTACGGTTTTAACAAAACATTCCCAGACCAGCTTAGTCAAAAGGCCCTGGGGTGATCCTATAAAAACAATGTCCTTTGAACACTTGTTAGTTTCGAGATGAGTGCCATTTCCCAGCTCTACTACTGTCCCTTCTGTTATCGTGGTCATGTTTCCAGCCATCGTGATTCCTATCTTCATAGAAGAAATCATCTCTGTTCCCTCTGTAATGGTGGTCAGACCCATGATCAATGTAGCGCTGCTCACGACTATAATGTCTATCTGCTATATAGGGATGCGAAGCCTGTCTGACTTTACGCTGTGATGACGGTGTATCTTGACGCCACTGGGAGCCTGAAGACTGGTTAAAAGTGTGATTGTGTGTCTGAGCTGATGGTGAAAATCCTGACTGATCAAGATGTGGAGAACCAAATTTCCCACCATATGACATCTGTCTTAAAACACTATTCATCTGAGGAAAGAAAAAAAAAGAAAGAATGTTAACTGCAAATATTTCTAGATAGCAAAGCCAATGGCTATCTGGTCACAGTTAACCAAACAAATAATAGTAGAAAAGCAAAATGACTCTTGCCTACATGAATCCTAAGTTAAACATAACTAAAAGTAATACGATAGCTTCATTCATTCCAACACACATATAACAAGATACTTGTACAAAACTACTACTTGCCCACAAAATACAACTTAGAAGGGAAGAAGTCATACAAAACAACTATAATATGAATCCCTGTGTGGTGAACATATGAAGAACCATAAGCGCATTATCATTAGAAAAAGCTTCATGAAGGTGGCATATGATCCGTGTATCAAAATTATGAATGGAATATTTTAACGAAAAAATTTTAAGGAGGGAAATATGTCAAGGATAGAAAACTGCACAAACAAAAACAATGAATGGGTTCATAGAATAATAGCAAGTAAATTCTGGCTGAAACAAGTTCTAGATCTCATAAACAGTGAATGGACAGCAACACAAGAAAGGTTTATTTTAACTAGACAATGGAAGTACCTTACAAGTAGGCTAGAGAATCCTGACACTATCTTGCAAACACTGAAAAGTCAAATCACCAGGAAGATAAGCAAAACAGAGTTATAATACTAAATCTGAAATGGTGTGTGAGATGGAATAGTAAAGATAAAATGGAGACAAGTACTAATTGACTAGATGAGTAGCCCCCAAATTCTATTCGTGAATATTAGTCAATGATGATATTCTTTAATAGCCTACAGCAAAATGAGACAAATAAAATGAATATAAAAGTTGATATGCCCTTATATTGGTCTCTGAATGTTACTTCATTTCACTCATATTTTGCAGACCAGTGAAATTCTAAAGGCTAGGGGTCACAAACTAAGATTGTGATTCAGGCAAAGAAAATAAAAAGAAATGAATGCTAAAAAGAAAAAAGAAGAAAAAACAAAGGACTTGGCAACTGAAAGAAAACAAAGATGAAAGAGAAAATATACCTAAGATATTAAATCTACTCTCTTGGTGATATTATTACAGAAAAAACCTGAATTTTCAATAGGCAGTTAAAAGACTCCAATATATTAAAGTATTAACATTAAATATCAGGGAGATTGTATGATAAAAGAAAAAAGTCACTCAGCATAGGGTTGCAAGAACAAAAAAATGAATTTCCAGTATTTGAAACACATAAACACACACACACCCAACAACTGTTGAAGAAAAGTAAAAATGTAAGATGTATTTTTATCTTCAATCTTCAAATATGTCTCATTTCAGGCCAGTGGAAACTGAACTGTGTGATCAATCTACAAATATCATCCTAGTCTATCTAAAATTTAAGAAGTTAATTTAAGAACTATCTCAGAGATCAAACATGGAGCAAAGTAGGTGGATGTTATACTCACCTCCTCCCAAAACCAAACTGGAATTGCAACTAGAATATAGACCAATCAACCTGTAAAATCAACTCAAGACTAGCTGAAGAGAAGTCTTATAACCAAGGAAGTACAGAAGAAGACACAAGGAATTGGTAAATTCTGGAAGCATATCAGCTGCAAGGATTTCCCCTGAAAAGTGTGGGGTCTCAAACCAAAGCCAGGCTCCTCAGCCCAGAGCACCAGAGCTGGGAACAGAGGCCCACCTGGATGTGAAAATCTTCAGGGATTCTGTCCACCAGGGAGGGAGAGGAGTCAGCTAGAGGCACAGGCACCCTCTTAAAGGGCCAACACACAAAAATCTTATAGCTACTCACCCCCGGGCTCTGGCAGAACAGGTGGAATTTATTCTGGGATACAAGGTTACAATATCCACAAATCAGTTAATGGGATACACCACACAAACAAAATGAAGAATTAAATAACATGATCATATCAATAGATGCTGAAAAAACATTTGATAAAATCTAGTACCCATTTATGATACAAATTCTCAGCAAAGTATGAATACAGAAAACATATCTCAAAATAATAAAGACCATATGTGACAAACCCACAGCCAACATCATACTCAATAGTCAAAAACTAAACGAGTTACCCTTAAGACCAGAAACAAGACAGGGATATCCATTTTTACCTCACCTTTTCAACATAGTACTGGAAGTCCTAGCCACAGCAATCAGAGAAGAAGAAATAAAAGGCCTCCAAATTGGAAAGGAAAAATAAAACTGTTATTATTTGTAGATGATATGACACTGGATATAAAGAACCCTAAAGATTCCACTAAAATACTAGAACTGATAAATGAATTCAATAAAGCAGCAGTATACAAAATAAATATCCAGAAATCAGTGGCTTTTTCATACACCAATAATGAACTATCAGAAAGGGAAACTTAAAAAAAAACAAACTCATTTACAACTGCATCAGAAAAAAATACCTTGGCATAAATTCAAGTAAGGATGTATAGGACTTATACAGCATACTCAGAAAATTGTAAGAAATTGAAAAAAGAAACTAAAGATACAAATAAGTGAAAGCATACACCGTGTTCATGGATAGGAAGAATTAACACTATTAGAATGTCCACCCAAAGCTATCTACAGATTGAATGAAATTCCTATCAAGATACCAATGGCATATTTCACAGAACTAGAAAATTCCAAAAATTCATATGAAACTGCAAAAGACCCCAAATAGCCACAATAATCTTAAGAAGTTGGAGGAATCATACCACCTGATACGGAAATATAAGGTCACAGTAATCAAAACAGCATGGTACTGCCATAAAAACAGACATATAGATCAATGGAAGAGAATAGAGAGCCCAGAAATAAACCCAAGTCTCTACGGTCAATTAATATTCAATAAAGCAGATAAGAACACACAATAGGGTAAAGATAAGTGTGTTCATCAATAACTGGTGTTGGGAAAATTGGATACTTGCAAAAAAAGAAACTAGACCACATTCTTATACCATACACAAGAATCAACTCAGAATAGGTTACAGACTTAAATGTTAGACTAGAAACCATAAAAAGCTTGTAAGAAAACACAGGCAATAAAATTTAGGACAACTGTTGTAGCACTATTTTTCTGATATATTGCCTCGGGCAAAGGAAACAAAGAGAAAAAGAAACAAATGAGACCACATAAAACTAAATAAATGTTTTTGCACAGCAAAGGAAACCACTGACAAAATGACAAGATAACCCACTGAATGGGAGAACTTACTTATCAATGATACATTGGATAAGTAGTTAACATCCAAAATTTATAAACAACTCACACTACTCAACACCAAGAAAATACCAGAACAAAACCCCCCAATTTAAAAATGGGCAAAGGACCTGAATAGACACTTCTCCAAAGAGAACACACAGATTTCCAACACACATGTGAAAAGACATTCAACATGACTAATCAGAGAAATGCAAATTAACACCACAATGAGATACCACCTTACATATATGGACCCAAAATAACCCAGAATTTATTTATAAAAAATTGTGCATTTATTCTTACATGTTTAATTTGTAGTCACTCTCCATTTGATGCAATACGCCCATCAAGACTTTTTTCCACAGCTCAAAACAGTTTTTGAACTTGTCCATTTTGATGCCTTTTAATGCTTTGGCCATTTTTTTGTTTCATTTCTTCCACACCAGCAAAACATTTCCCTCTGAGGACATTTTTTATCCAGGGAAACAAAAGTATCACTGGGGGAAGAGATCAGGTGAGCAGGGAGGTCATGCTGCTTTTGGTCAAAAACTGCTGAGCACGCAGCAAGGTATGGGCAGGTGCACCCAATAAATCACCCATCATGAAATGGGCAAACACACTGAAAGAATCCTCAGAAGAAAAAAAAAAATTCACTGAAGCGAAATGCAGCCTCCCACAGCAATGCCAGCTTGTACATGGATACAGATGGGTTCCTAGAACACTCACCTAGCCAGGGAAGCCAGTACTGCAAAAGGACTGGCCTCCAGAAGATACTTCTGGTTTTTTTGGGTCCCCCCTCATATACCTGACAGAATGGCTATCATCAATAAACCAACAAAAAGGTGTTGGCTCAGGTGTGGAGAAACAAACCCTCATGTACTTTTAGTGGGAATGAAATTGGTGTAGAAAGCAGTATTAGTATCTCAAAAAATTAAAAATTAAAAATGCAACTGTCTTATGGACCCAGCAATTCCACTTGTGGGAATACATCCGAAGAAACCCAAACCACTAATTTGAAAGAATATATGCATCCCTAAGTTCATCACAGCATTACTTACAATAGCCAAGACTTAGAAGCAACCTAAGTGCCCATCAGTAGATGAGTGGATGAAAAAGCTACAGTACAGTTACATGATGGAATACTACTCAGCTGTTAAAAAGAAACCTTACCTTTTGTGACAATATGGATGGACCTGCAGAGTGTTATGTATCCTAAGTCAAATAAGCCAGTCAGAGAAAGACAAGTAACACATGGTTTCACTCATATGAGAATTCAATGAACAAAATTAACTAACAAAATAGAAACAGGCTCAGAGACAGAAAACGGACTGACAGCTGTCAGAGGGGTTGGGGGCCTGGGTGATAAAGGTGAAAGAATGAAGAAAAAAAAAAAAAACACAACTCATAGACACCGACAAGAGTATGGTGATTACCAGAGGGAAAGGAGATGGGGCAAGCAGAAGAGGGGAGGGGGAATAAATGGTGATAGAAGGACACTTAACTTGGGATGGTGAACACACAATAGAGTGTACAGATGATGTGTTATAGAATCATACACCTGAAACCTATACAATTTCATTAAGCAATGTCACCCAATAAATTCAACTAAAAATATTATCTGAACACTCTAAGAATGATTTTTTTAAGCAACATATGTTGAAAAATTAGCCTACCACCGCTTGTCTCTGAAAATTTTCTGGCGAAGAGAAAGATCTCTGAATTATCTGTGATGAAGGAGTTATGTTATCCACCATCCTTTCGTACCTGAAAAAAAAAATAAGAAAACCAACATGTAACCTTTCATTCTACAAGAATTTACTACATACCAACCATAAACAGACACAGCTCTCAAAGAAATGAACAAGGTTATCTGCTCTCATGCAACTGGGGTAAGGATTTAGGCAGTGAGAGAGCTTCACATAGTTTAAGTGATATACTGGAAGAAAAAAGAGCAAGTAGAGATGAGAAAGATGGGGGTTCTATTTCTGACTGACTGCTCAGGAACAGTCTTTCTAAATAGACATTTGCAGTAAGAACTGAGTGACAAGGTTACCTAAAAGAAAAACATTCCCACTGAGAGATGGACTAGTGTAAGGGTGAGCAAACTAGAGCCTGTGGGCCAAATCGTTTTTGGTAAACAAAGTTTTATTGGAACACCACCACCCTCTTTTGTTTTTGTATTATCTACGTAGAGCTACAAAGGCAGAGTAAGAAACTGTAAGACCAGCAAAGTCTAAAACATTAACTACCTTGTCCTTTATTAGAAAAAAAATTGTCAATCCCTGGGCTAGTGCAAAAGCCTAGATGGAGAACTAAAATGAAAAGGATTTGATAGATGTGATAGATGAGGGTAAGAGAATAAATAAAAATAATAAAATCTATATATTTAGCTTGAGCAATTAAGTAGACATATACCAAGACAGGAGAAAGGAACAGATTTTGTGGAGTAAGAAATTAAGAGTTCTGTTAAAAAGAATTTTTAGGATTTATACTTTATTCCTTACTTCCTGAAGAGATAACTTGCTCTGCAGGACTCACTTAGAAAACATTATGACTTACAGTGCTGACCTTTTTTGAGTTTTCTTAAATCAGTTAGAGTATGCTAAGGAAGTAAAAAGTACAATTTTACTTACAACAAGAGTATAAAAATAATGTACACTCTAGCCTTTGATTAAAACTAAAGTACTTACTTGCATATTTTTTTCCCCAAGAAATTCTAAGGAGGGCAGAAGAGTGTGTCTAAGTTTTTTTTCCTCTACCTAAAATACCTTTGAAGGTTCTATGAAAGTGGATGGAGATGCTTCAAATTCCACCTATACTGAGAAGCATCTAAACACAATTTCAGAGGCAAGAAAGGACACTAAGAGGATACCTTTTTTATACTACTGCTCTCTTACAATTTCACTTTCTGATTATCTTTTCATATCCATCCACTTCTCTCCAGCTCATGGCACCACTCTAATTCAAACCATCAACCTCACCCCAATAACTTCCCTGCTACCTTGCTACTTACACCATTACCTTGCTACCAACCAATAGCTTCCTAACTAGTCTATTTTTACCCTTGTCCTTCCAATTCATTCTCCCATTTCAACCAAAAAAACTCCATACAATACACACCTGTTCCTTTTACTACCCTACAGAAAACATTTCAATGTCTTCCTACAGTTCTTAAGGTAAAGTCCCAAAATGGAAATCATAGCCTGTAAGAACTCTGGATCATTCAGCATACTTCAAAATAGCATCTACTTCAAAATAGCATCTACTGCTCTCCATTTTTCATTATGATCTAGGTACACTGTCCTCTTGCAGGTTCTCATTCATTTATATCGTCTCTCCTTGTTACAACTTTCCCCTAACACTTTCTACTTCTTTTTTAAAGAACTAATTGAAGGAATTAAATAAGTAGTCATAAAATACATATAATATGTGCTGTCATCTAGACTCTACGCTCCTGTAGGTAGCACATCACAGTGGCTGGGCTAGAATGCACTATCTAGGTTTGAATTCTGTAAGAGCAGTTTAAACTTGAGCAAGTTATCTCCAATCCTCATTTTCTTCATATATAAGAGATAATAATCCCTACCTCAAAAGGCTGTTGTGAGGAATAAATGAAATCATAAACACAAAAAGCTTGGTGAAGAACATGACACATGATAGGTATTTGTTAACTCTTTCTTGAATAAAGGCCATTATGATTAATAAATATTTCTATGAATAGACCAGGGAAAAAACTGCCTCTGGTAAAATGTCAGCCTCACTGAAGCAATAAATAAATAAATAAATAAATAAAAATTATTAAGTAAATATAAACATGGTAATTGTCTATCTTTTCTGACCCTTGGAAACTAGAAGGCATTTTAGAGATCATTTAATTTAATTTGTTTTACTTACAAATGGGAGGATAGGACCAGAGAGATGAGAACAGTGAAGATTGCAAAACTGGTAGAGGCAGATCTAGAATCAAATTCTAAACTCTTAGTCCAACATTCTACTTACTAATTGCAAGTAATCAATTAGTGGTCACAAACTAATTTAAATTTTAAAAGATGAAATGAAATGGAAATTGATTACACTGCAAGTAATAATGTCATTTTGAAAATTTTTCTTTCAGTTATATACATGTATATGTGGTTGTTGGTATGTCTATATAAATGAACATAAATATAGTTATATATCTATTTTAAGGGGACTATATGTAATGTATATGTCTATAGACTCTTAAAATAGATACATAATTATAACCCAACATAATAATGTTGCAGAGAAACAAGTAGGAGCACTAAAAATGCAAACACTCATTATGTGTTCTGAGATCACTATCTAAGAAAATTCCTGATAAATGATTTTAACAATAGGTGAGAAATATTACCTGCCAGGAGATGTGGAGGTAGGGCTTGCATTTCCAACATGATGCTGGGAATATGTCAAACTAACGTCCTGTGAGGCATGGCTACTTCCTAAAATAAAATAATTTGAGAAACGCTTCTTGACAAAAAATTGTTTCCCCCACCCCAAATCACTTCTAAAAGGTAGACATGGGATCAAAAGAAAACCTCAGATTTTGGTAGACTGGCTTTACAGTTTCACCAGAGTGAAAATTCTGTTTAATGGCAGGTACATCCAAAATAAATGGTCCCAAATAGGGTAATATCTACTGTATAAATATCCACTCTGGCCATAATATTTGATCCTCACACTAAATTGTAAGACTGGATACATGCAAAGTTTCATCCTCATATGATCAAGAATCAAAACTTACAAAAGTAAATTACAAAGAAGCCAGGAAAAGTATTTTTAGAAAATAATTCTTGCTCCCTTCTAACAATAAAATTTAGGGTTTTTTTTTTCACTAATACAAACTGAAATTTTAAACTCAGTTTTAAAATTACAACTTTCAAAATCCATGTTGTCAATGCTACCCATTTTCAGGAATACTATTTACTATTCACAAATCTTAAAGTATTTTCATCCAAAAAGGATTTTTTAAAACTGAATAATGAAAACAAAATATTAAAAAGCAGCTAGTAATTTCTCTTACCTGATCTAAACTGAATTTTGATAGGCCTTCCAAAAAGTTTGATTCCATTAAGTAGATTCATTGCATAAGGAACAGATACTTCATGTTTGAAATTCACAAATGCAAACTGCTTTGGTTTACCATCCTTATCTTTTGGAATTTTCACTTTTATTACTGGCCCAGCCTATAAATAAGAAGAGTTTACAACTTAAATAAGGCAATTCAGAGAAATATTCAAATTTTACAAAGTTTATAAACAAAAGAAATGTAATCAGGGACTCTAAAAAATAGATAGATTTTCATCTCCATTAGAATAGAGTCTGCAGATATAACTAAACATTTACTTATTTGGGAGAAGGAAGTCCCTAAGGAACTAAACACAATCACTGAATTTACATTTCTCAGCACTTTATCACTTTAACACTGTGACCAACATCCATCATCTTTCCCCTCCATAGAAATTAGTGTTTATAAACACTGGTATTCTTGGACCAAAAATTCACTTCTGTATGGACTAATCAAATTTACCGGTGGTTAGAGGATGGAACTGGAGGGAAGAGGATACTTGGAATTTTTAACATATTTTAATACAGATTTAAATACAGGAGCACCACAATGCTACGTTTCTACTGAGAATTTATGAGCCTTTCAAAATACCGTAATGCTGCAATTTTGTAAGAAACTTACATGAAAAAGAGATACAAGGAAATTCAAATATAACTTGTCAAGACAACCAAAGACAAACTGTCCTAAGAGGAAGATGAAAAAAGGAGATATAGAAAAAAACACTGGTCTATATAAATGTGTTCTCACTATAGTGTACACCGGGAACTAATATATCATTGTGTGTCAACTGTAATTAGAAACTTAACTTACAAAATACTGCTCAAAAAAGAACCCATGTGTATTATGCCCCTTTAGGACCCCTGAATCTTTACCTCTGGAATGCCTCCTCGAGGATCCCTCCACCACATTTAGTCCTCAACTTTGGCGTGAGAAGGATTCTTTTAATTAGGCGACACCCACCCAACACCTAAACGCGACCATCAGGCCCAACCAGCCCACCTGAAGGATGTCCCGACGGACAACTACGTTTGCACAAAAAAAGCGGAGATAGCAGTTGGGCTGGGCCGTACGCGAGCGGAAAAGTAAAGGAAAAGGCTAACCCCAGCCGCTTACCTGGTGGAAAAGCTCGAAAAGGAGCTCCTCTGTCACTTTAGTTTCTAGATTGCCCACAAAAAGAGTACGATCCGCTTCCGCCGCCGCCGCCCCCATTTCAGCGTCTCCCCCTCCCTAAAAAGGCCGAAGGGTCGCCGCTGACGCACCACTGCGCACTCTCGAAAGCCTACGTCCTCGCGCTTCCAGGCGTCACAGACGTAAACGTCAATCACGCTCGCTCTCGGCCCGCGAGGAGCGCTGACGGTGTGCGCATGCTCGCGAGGAGAGCTCTCGTTAAAGGCTGCAGCTAGAGTGGTTGCGACTCGTAATATGGCTTACTCTGTAGTCGCTGTTCGTGGAGCTGCACCGACTGTGGAGCTGCAGAGGGCCTTCTTTGACTGAGCGACGTTAAGACAGATACAGCGGGCAGTGTTTGAAGATGGCCCTAAACTCTGGGTTCCTGTGTGCTGGCGATCAAGGGAAGAGGGTGACCTCCAGTTGTTCCCACGGCGACCTTAGCCCTTCGGCCGTAGCATTGGCCATGGTCTCTGGAGACAGCTGCCTCTTGGCCAGACTTGAGGCGGTTCGTTCAAGACCTACTTCTCGCCAGGTGGTACGGCAAAGCGTTCGGATCGAGAGACGTCGGACGGCTGGTGGAAGCTGGAGCCCTCTGCGCTTTGTAAAGGGAGGAGACCCTGATGGGCGGAGCCGAAGCCGTAGGGAGAGATTTTCGCCTTACCCGACTCCTGTGTTTAAACTGGATCTGTTAAGTGTCTGACCGCCTTTGGAGGTGTTGTCGCAGCCAGCCTTTCTGTTTAAAAAGAACACTTCCTCAGCCCTTCAATTAGCTTGTGAACAAGGCCTCTCAAATCCTTTCTTGTTGCAATCGCAGTCTTATTTTTAGAAGGATATATTTTTATTTTAATATAGAGATATGTGAAAGTCCTGTTAATATAGCCTAGGACAAAGGGAAATTTTACTATTGCTAAATTCAGATGGTGTTTAGGGGCCAGAATGATTAGTTCGAGAAGGAGGTAGATATTTTTTCTTAGTCACAAAGCTGAGCTATTGGGACCACCTGCCTAGAGGTCAACAATCCGCTTATTCACCCTTTGTGCACTCCATTCCTACAATGGCTCCAAATTTCTCTGCTTTCCACAAGTCTTACCTCCCTTCCGTTGAATTACAAGTCTCAAAGGAGGAGAATCTACTTTGAGACTTGTAATTGAGCTTTCTTAACCACCTACTTTCTACCTCACATTAATCCCTGTACTTTTACTTCTGTTGATGAAAAGGAAACGCTTCCATTTATCTCTCCGTTTTATCTTTCCTCCCTATGGCCCAATAATCCTATTATCTTGACTTGGACATTTACACTCTCCCATCTCCCTCCTTGTTTTCATCACGAATATCTACAAACTTGAGTCTCAACCATACTAAAAACAAGAGCAAAACCTAAACCTTGCTGCTCTTTCAAATTATTAAAATCAATTTACACTTCTTTCTTTACCAAAAGCTCCAAATGAATTTTTACTTATATTTGTCATTACTTGCATTCAATCCCAGCTTCCTTAATTTAAATCTGTTGTCCCAAAATTAACAGAAATTGGTTTTACAACATCCTGTTAGGAAGCTGTCCATCTATGTACTCTAGCATCTTTCTTGGACTTTCTTATTTGTTAATTCATTCAAGCATTCTACAATATATGAAAATCTCTGAGGTAATTACACACTGTGGATGAACTTGACACAGTCTTGCCATCAAGGAGATCAAGGAGTATACTCTTGGAGAGGCTAATAAATCAATATGTAATCTTCCACACTAGAATGTTCATTAGCTGCAGTGATAATAAGCACTGGTTGCAATGGCTTCCATAAAACTGTGCTATCATGTTCTCTTACCTGGCTTACTGGCTAATATTTTTGTTCTCCTAATCATGCATTCCTCAAGAGTGGTATTGGGAGAAAGTTGGTTTCGTTTAAGTGCCAACTCTTGCTGTCTGTCCAATATGTTCAAACAGCCAAGTTACCACAGAGCACACAGAACTGGATTGTTAGAACTACATCTTAAGGAGAGTGTTGTGAGAGGTCTGAAAACCAGGTCATAGAAAAATGTTTGAAAGAATAAGGATAGCTACCTTTTACTGAATGCTGTTTGCAAGGCAATGTGCTAAGGGCTTTTATTCAGTGTTTATTCAGATATTCATTGAGAATTTTTTCTGTGCCTGCTACTTCCTGTGCTAGGCACTTAGAGTAAAGTGAACAAGATAGATAAGGTTGCTGCTTTTATGGAGCTTTATATATGTAATTTTTCACAACAGCTCATAACAGATGTATTATACTTTCATTTCTTTAGCTGAGAAACCAAGGCACAAAGAGATGAAGCTTTTCAAGGTCATTCAGCTAGTAAAGGATAGAAACTTGCAGCCTTTCAACTTGAGTTTCTCATTTAAACCATGTGACCCAAATATGATGACAATTTTCTCATTTCTCCTAAGGATATACTATTCTAGATATCTAAAAAGATGTTAATTTATAATATATGATAGATGTCTTTATGTTGGTCATTATGATAATCCATAGTTGAGAAAGGAGTACCAAAATTATAAGCAAAGAGTTTTAGACTGGGAAAGATAATAAAATTAAAGATAAAAATAAAAGATTTTCATACAACTTAGAGATCCCTAGCAGTAGAAAATACCCCCAAATAAGGTAATGAGTTAACTGCCCAAAGCTCAGATGGAGGGTAAATTCTGTCAAGTGTAAATAGGACTAGCTGACTTTTTCACTTCTTTCCCACTTAACCTATAAATGGGAAAGAATTTATTGTTAAAATTTGAAATGGGGAATTGAGGGAGAAGAGAAAAATGGGTTATAATATACAGGATAACCTTATTTACTGTGCAAATCAGGACTCTTTACAGTGAAAGGCTATCAGTTAAGGGGGGCAACAGCAACATATTAGGGCTGTCCCAGGTAGATTTGTTGGATGATTTGATGTACCTAAGGAGAGGGTACAATGTGAAATATGCCTTTGAAGCATATTTAGCTTTAAGGAAAGGCTGCTGAGATTTGTAAATGAAGGAACAAAAGTCTGGCATAAAAGTGCATGAGAACGGGAGGACCCATTTCTGTTTGTTCTGATATAGGGTCATCAGGAGTAGGGCTTTGATTGGATGATAGTGTGCATGTGCAAGAAAAAAATGGTGTGAAAAAAGAAAATGTGTTTTGTTTGGCAAGAGGAGAATTTTGTTCACACAAATGCCCATCATTTTAAATCTGAAGTAATGAATGCTTAAATTCTCCTTTTCTTAACACCTTCACTAGTGTGACTAGGAACTGTGTTCTTAGAGTTACAAAGACTATTGTGAAAACAAGAACCAATGTAAACTTTGAATGAAACTACATAAAGCAGGGACAACTAACTTTTTCCAAGAGCAATCCATGTTATTACAAATTTGTGTGCAAAATGAATTCTTTAATGTCAGTGGTAAAGTATAGTATAATGTCATTTTAAAATAGATGAATTTTCTTAAAAGTCCAAAAATTTATACTTCTGTATATTTTTAAAAACCATTATAACTTCCTGTTTGGGGGGTTTTGCCCCCTATTTATTACATCACACTAAGCAACTGCCCAGCATGAGTTGGAGTCCTATTAGAATATTACTTCCTCTACTCATCATCACTAAAACTCTAAAATTTAGAATGCACATTTGGGATACAGAAAAAAAGGAGGCCAGTGAGACTGTTCTTCCTCAGTAGCCAGATTTGATGATAATCCTAATTCTAAGGAAGAAAGGAAAGGAAGAAGGAAAGTCCCACAGGAGGAAGAGGAAATAGACCTCTCATGGCCAAAGGTTCAACTGCCTGGCAAACAAAATTAATTAGGTCTTTTATTCCTTCAAGGTTAATCTATGCAGATCCCACTGAGATGCAGATTTTGTCTTCCCAGTTTCCATGACAAGTATTCTCATTTTCCCAACTAAATAAGTTTGAATACCTGTTACTCCATACTGCCTACATCCATCACCTGCAAAAATGCTGCTATTTTATCTTCACAATGTATTTATGTTTTTACAATAACTTGCATCACCTGCACTGTATTTAGCCTGTTTTGTTTGCCTCTGTACCTCTATACTGTATATGTATATAGCTTACAGACCAATGTTTCTGATCACATAAATTCTACTCCAGTGTTTCCCATAGTATAGTCCCCAGAATCTCCACTAGATATGCAAGCTACTCCTTTGGAAAAAATGTCAAGAGGTCAATAAATTTGAAAATGATGTATGTTTTATCACCTTCTTAGGGAGTCATAATTTATAATAACATGTTAAAAATTCTGGTAATACCTTTAAAAAAAGAAACCCTTCATTTGGATTTTAACTTCATTTTAACCAAGGTTTCACCAATTTATTTGTCCATAAATTAAAAATTTTTGCATAGTACCTATCTTCCTGAGGAATCTCAGTTCTACAGAAATAATTAGAAATGCTGCCTACTTAAGAAGCTCCATTTGCTCCTCACTTGAGTTATTAGAAATGGATTTTTATATAGCATGGCAGAATTTAGTGCCCCTGACTAAATAGGTATTGCATGTTTTAAAAATTATTGCAACACACTGGTTGAAAATCACTGACTGACTTAGGTGCATAGAAATAACGTACAGAGTTTGCTTAAGGCAAAGATAAACCTTTTACAACAAGTTCTATGGCTGGGGTGTGACTACCTACCATGGACTGGCTAGTGAGGAATTTCTGATCAGATCAGCCCTTCTAGATTACTTGCCACAGAACCCCTTTTTTCTTCCACATAGGCCGAGAGGAAAAATTGAGGCTTTTATATTGGTACTTATATATAGGTACTTAAAACGAGAAAAATTTCCACAAAGTTTGTGTTGATGAATTTCAAAATACAATAATCGATATAATCTTTTATGTAATGTTAATACTCTTAAGGAAAAGGTAGAATTATTTTGGGGGGAGAATAGCAATTTTTAAATGTTTATAGTTAGTGTTTACTATTATCAAAATCAGTAACAGCACTGGCTGGAGTGACTCTGTTGGACATTGTCCCGCAAAGCGGAAGGTTGCTGGTTTGACTGTGGGTCAAGGCCAGTGTCTGGGTTGTGGGCCTGGTCCTGGCTGGGGTGCATGCAAAAGGCAACCAATAGATGTTTCTCTCCCTTTCTTTGTCCTTCCCTTACCCCTCTCTCTAAAAATAAATAAAATATTTTTTAAAAATCAATAACAAATACTCATCTGTTATTTTATTATTTTTTTTTTTAGCCAAGAAAGAATTTATTAAGGCAATGGTGTGGTGCCTGGAGTCTCCTGTGGCTCATGCTCAAAGACCTGGCTCGGATCATGTGATTTTTAATGAGATTTATCTTTAATTATCTCTAATGAGATTTTAATGTGTTTTATCTTTAAAACTACCTGAAATTTTTTTTGTCAAAGGTGTTGCCACATGCTAATACCAGTTCATGAGCCTATGGTTTTAATTGAGCATATTCATTGGAAAGCATTTACATTATACAATTCTATTATTCCCAATATTTGCCTTTTAGCATGTGGTTATGTTGCAGATTAATTGCTTCCAATTGAAGTTTAGATAGAAGCTGTACAATTGCATAATTAAATGGATTTTTGAAATATGGAAATTTTCTTTTTACTTACATCCGGGTCTGAAAGATGCTGTTAGAACTGTAGTTTGAATTCAGAAACTGTATTTACTGCAAATCTGTGTAGGTAGGCAGATCTTGCTTAAGTTCCTTAACAGGACAGGAAGCGAGTATAAAAGCTTGAGATCACTTGCAATTCAAACAATGTTAGTTGTTGAAATGGCTTGACCACAGTATAAGTTTGGTGTGTAAGCACTGTTTTGCCTTATAGCTTTAGGTTTAATTCATTGAGAAACATTATCAAGCCTGCAGCAAAAGTTAATTTCCAAAGGCATTTAGTGTGATAACAGGGTTGAGGACAGTCCTTCCAACCTCTCAAAAATGTACAAACCATTCTTAGATGGAGGGCCATACAAAAATTGACAAACAGCTGGATTTGATCTGCATGCCTTAGTTTAGAGAGACTTTTAGTAACTACCAAAGTCTACAAAACTATTTAGTGGTAGAGTGGGGATTCAGATTTGATCAGGCAGCCTGGCCTCAGCGCCTATACACTTGGTGACTATGCTATACTGCTGACAGCTGGTGGCAAAACCTAGAGTGGCTCTTAGACTGTGGGTTTGTTTTTTTTTTAACTTATACAATAATGCACACAAAACAGTGTACAGTGCAACTGATACCTGTGTCCTTACCACCCAATTTAAACTACTGTTCCATTCTTAAAATCTCTTTTGTTTACCACACTCTTCACCTGACACAATCACTCCTGAATTTGGCATTTTGCATTTCTTGCTTTATTTTTTAAGTGCTACTTTGATTACATGTGTATCCCAAGTGCATTTCTAAGTGTAATATGGAATTGTTTTACCTATTGTAAAGCAATTTAAACAGTGTGCTAGCTAGGTTTAAGGATTGCAGTATTGAAACAAAAGGCATGAGTCTTTTAGCCCCTTGTGTAAAGACACGCAGAGTTATAACTCAATGATACAGCTGAAAAAAGTAAAAATACATTTAAAAATAGAACAATATAAATGGCACCTACACTGCACAGAATGTTCAGTGGCTCACTTATTTTCTCCATTTGATTTTGCCAATATATACCTTTTAGTAGAATATGGCTTTTCAGTTACCACCCCTCTCGTGTCTTATATCTACTCATTTCACAAAATTTAGGTACCTGTCTGGCCCCTGGAGCCTTTTGTGCTTGTAACCCCAGATTTAAGATGTCATTCCACTTAGCCATTTAAATGGGAAATTTTATTAACATGGGAATTTGTGTTATATTGTGTTATAATGACATTTATGTTACATAAATTAACAAAAATGGGTATGAAATAATATATGCACTAACTTATATGAACAAAATAGGCATAGAAAAGACTAGAAATAATTTTGCCAAAATGTATATCTGAGTGGTAACATTTTGTGTGATTTTTACTGTGTGGTCATATTTTTATGAATTTACAAAATTATTTTTATTATAAAATATTTTTTAAAAACTCAAATCATCTGTAAAATATTTCAATAAGGTCATAATTGTTTATTCTTTAATCATATTAATTTCAATTAGGTTATGCTGATATTTTTCACTACTTAAATCAATCAGTTCTTGCTTTGTTCTAGTAAAGATCAAAATATGGTTATGCACTGCTTAACAGCAAGGATACATTCTGATAATTCATTGTTAGGTGATTTCATTATTGTGGGAACATCACAGAGTCATAGAGTCTCTTCACAAAGACCTAGTGGCATAGACTACTACACACCTAGGCTATATGATGTAGCCTATTGTTGCCATAGGCTACAAGCCTGTATAGCATGTTACTATATAAAATAACAGGAGATTTAATCAAAGATGAGAGAGAATGATACCATTACGGACAAATACAATATGCATAGGACTGCTGCCCTATCATGGCTATTTCACAGCAAACATTTTTTGTAAGTAAAAAAAATAAACTCTAAAATAATAAAAGTGTATAGTAAATACATAAATCAATAACAGTTTACTATCAGTATCAAGTGTTATGTATGGTACGTAATTGTACCTGCTATGCTTTTATACGACTGGCAGTGCAGTAGCTCTGTTTCCAACAGCATCACCAGTAATGCATTGTGCTATGATGTTAGGATGGCTATAATGTTACTAGGTTATAGGAAGTTTTCAGCTCCCTTATAATCTTATAGGACCACCTTCATACATACAGTCTGTTGTTAACCAAAACATCATTAAGCATAACTGCAGTCATGGATGATATATAGAGGTGATAGCCAGGTACTAGGTATTGCGTACCAGAGCTGTTCAACCTGTGGCCCATGGGCCTCATGCAGCTCAGGATGGCTAGAAATTTGGCCCAACACAAAATCATAAATTTACTTAAAACATGACATTTTTTATGATTACATGTCACAATGTATTTAATGTGTGACCCAAGACAACTCTTATTCCACTGTGGCCCAGAGATGCCTAAAGATTGGACACCCTGGAAAAAAACAAATGTATTAGCTCTGTTGAATCATTTGTCTTAAACCCTATCAAAGATTGCATTATCAGAAAGGATAGCCTACATGGTATTTCTAAAAGTTATATGATAGGTAAGAATTTGCCAAGAAAAAGAAAGAATTTGCCAAGTTTTCTCCTGTTGAAGGAAAGGCATGTCCAATGTAAGAACACCAACATCTAATCTGTAAGTAACCAGAGAAAACTGACAAGCGAGATCTTCCTTGCTCTGGCTCCAAGCTGACCAAACAAACATTTATCTAGCATGTCTTAGGGAAGAGAGCGCACTCACCAGTGCTCTTGAGCATCCCAAGTCCCATGATTATTGGCATTCTGCTTTATGTATGAGCTTCTTGTGAGTTTGGTTAGCAGGAAACAGTCCCAGAGAATCTGATCACATTTGGAGGCCCTTACAAAGAGCTCCTTGTGTGTGAGGCCGGAAAAGTAAATCCTAGAACACGGTGTCCATATTGATGTTCTGCCCTTCTTGGAGGTCTTATCTAGACTCCCCTGGTTCAGCATCTCCTAGATCCCATTCTCTTCTCATATGTGCTTTGCAGGTGCAATGATGAGGCCTCAATTCCAATTCAGTTTTTCAACTTAATAGCATATATATGGTCAAAGTAAAGACTTGACAATTGCAAGTGCCAATTTAAGTTTTTCCAATAAAATCCTATTCTAGAAAATCCTTTCTATTAACTGGGTAAATGAACACAATGAGATGTTTGTTTTTTGCCTGGGTTATCTGGTTACATATGGACTCTGACAGTATTTCACCTATAAATTATTCATGGCCTGCTTCACTTCTGGCAAAGCAAAAGATGTTGCCACCCCACAGAGAATTTCAAGATTGGTGTGGGGAATTCTGTAAAACTTGCCAAATTGGGACATACAAGCAATTTTGAAAGTAATCCAGTATGTTGACATGGGAAGGCTGTGCATATAAATTCTTTAATTATCTCTCCTTTTGGCTAAATTTAGCTTTGTGGTGTGAGAGTGGATCTGCATTTGCACTGCTGCCATGATATTTGATGGCAGTTTCACTTGGCTCCTTCTCAGCCTGAGTTCAGAGCAATATGGCAGTTCTGTGATGTGGACACAGTTTCTACACTAAAGCCATCCATTTTAATAAAGTAAAGGTCTAGCCCGTTGAGCCTAGTTGAATACAGCTGTTGCATTGATCTCTTCTGATGCTACAGCCGTTGAGTTCATTTCGTTAATCACATTTTCCATACGGGTAAAAGCATGAAGCTGCTTGGTATCTTCCAGAGTGCATGCATTCTAATTTCAGAATTTAATCAAATGGAACTGGCTTCCTGACAGAGTAAACAGAGCAAAATACTGTATCCAGACCAGCTGCCAAACTAGCAGCCTGAATTTATTTTTCCTTGCTTTGCTAAATGCATCTTGAATTTTTGAAAACGTAGTCCAGGTTAAGGAAATGTAGCATTTTTGAACCAAGACCAGTCACTTCTAATGCTCTTCCATAAATACATCCATTGAATTTCAAAAGTTAGGTAGCTGAGTTAATCCTTTTACCACACAAGTCTATAGCCAGAGAAGAAAACATATTCCTCTTTCCTACTGAACACAGGGATTATGCACATAGACTCTTGCCATCTGAGCCAACCTACTAACAGCAAGTACCTGTAACTATCCACACGTTTTGGGTTTGTTTTTTTTTTTTTGACTACTACCTCTGTAGTTACTTGATTCTTATAATCTAACTAATATCTGAAATCTTTCAGGTATTTTCTATGGCACTTTTTACATGCCATTCCATATATAAATATCAAAGCTTTATTTATAATATAGATAAAATGTAGCAACCAGGACACAAATAAGAGAGTCACTGGGTAGACTATGTATTTCTCAAACCACTTGGCTTGTGAAAGAAGGCCTGAGGAAGTGCAGAATACATTATCAGCTCCTTTGTTATTTGTTGGGAACTGCCCTGCTTGATTTCGGAAGCTGTAACCCCCATCCCATGGCTAAGGCAGAGTGAGTGACCTTTGGACCATAAGCCACTAAGGAGACAAAGCTTATCTCCCACTAAGGAGACAAAGCTTATCTCCCT